AAGCATGGATGCACTATGACGGGCCGTTCTGTTCTGGGCTGCATAGTACTACTGCTTGGAAGAAGCCCGCCGTGTCTCTCTTGCGGTTACCATCTGCCAAGAAGTGCCACATAAAACTCGCGAAAATCGGTCGAGAAGCCGCCACAAAGAAAAAGCGATGAAAGGTGTATCTTGCCTTGGAAAGCAGATACATGTTCTGCCAGGCTGAGCCTGGAGTACAAGGACCGGTGATGCAATGGCAATATGCAGTGTCCGGATGCGAAGAGGAGCGGTTTGATTCCCTTCTGGTCCAAAACAATTTCCGAGAAAGGACCATGTTTACGATGTGGAAGAAGTCTGCTGTGCTTCTTTTGCAGCTAGCATTCGCTAAAATGTGGCATTTACGGGCTGTCAGCAAAGCTACGAAGAAGCCTCTTTAAACTTATCTGTCAGTTTTAAGCTTTTAAGCTATTTCTTGAACGGATACAAAATATGTACGACAGCAAGCCTCTTGAGGGAAGCCATCATCTCAGCGCTGAATCGACGAGGCTCTTCCAACAGCACTTTCACCTAATTAACCAAAAACATTTTGATTCATGGCAAAAATCTTTCCGTTTTCTTTCCATGGCAACCTAGAGGTCATTCCTACTGATATTTTGTTAGGGAGCACAGTGATGTAAACACTGGTACTAGGAACATAATTAATTAATTGAAACAGGGACAAGGCTCGCCTATGTAAGCAATGTTTCGATTCTAAATATGCAAGTCCTGCGCTGGCCTCCGTTGCAAAACGCAATTTTGTTTCCAAATTAACCGGCACATTCTTTCTTAAATAACCAAGCACTGAACCTCCTGAAAGAACTGCTGGAAAGCTTATGTAAAAACTTGTCTAAAGCAAAAATATTTAAGTATAAGCAAAAATAATGGAAGAAGGCGGAAGTAGATCCATCTAAAGCAGGGAGTAAATCCATCAAAAGCCAGGAGTAGATCCATCAAAAACTGATTCGTCTATGCAGGCTTCATGAGTATTTTACACGAGTTGAAACCGGACGCAAAAGCCAAGAAATGGTGAAGTTGGAGCACTTGAATTAGCAATTAAAAACAGATCTTTCTAGTCGGCTTCCGAGGACTAAAACCAGTCCTTGTTAGGCGAAACCAATTGCTGCATATCGTAATGCGTCATTATAATCACCTCCGCTAATTAAAACTTTGAAAAAAGGAATCCGAAAACTCCGACTAAAACTGAGAGAGATTCTAGAGATGGGCAAAAATTTTGGGACATTAGTTTAGAAGATTTTTAGATTGCACTTAAAACATCATCTTTACACTACACTCGCCCTCATTTTATGCGTTTTTGCATATATATATACATATATATATTTATTTATTTATTTGTTTATTTATATATATATACATATAAATGCAAAAATGTGTGTGTCTGTGGCGACCATTGTGGTTGTATGTGTATGTTTGTGTGTCCGAGTATTTCGGCTCGGCAACCAAACAAGCTCCGGCGCTAAAATTTTGCCATGGGTTCCGTGGTCAAGCCCAAGGGTATAAGCACGCTTCAAGTACAAGAACGTGTAAATTTTGGCTGGAAAATCGCCAACTCAGGAACCAGCAAAGCTGGCAGGTCGAAATTTTAAAGGGACGTTCCCAGACTACATACTACTTAAAAATCAAATTCAACCTTCAGATCTGCGTGGTTCTTACGTGTGGATTCGTGAAATTTTTTGACGGGAAAACTGCCATCTCGGAAACCAGCAAAGCTGGGGGATAAAATTTTAATGTCCCTTTTTAAATAACACATAGTTGCACAGTTAATTTCCTGAATTTTGAGGGCTGGTATATCACATATCCTAGCTACTGGGATTCCAAACTGACTTACTACAGCACGAACTACTGGTGGGCGTCGCCAATAATAGAACACTGTTTTGGAATGCACACAGACGCTTCCTTTAGTCAGTTAAATTCACTCAGGATGCACAACAACGTTTTCTGTAACTTCGTGAAAGATCAATCGTCCAATTGAAACCAAAGCCGGCTCAATCTTATTCGTGAGAAATCCAAGTAACTGGAACTTGTTTGCACTAATGATGATGCTTTCAGAGTGTTCAGTTTCTGAGTTTCAACGTATGTATTTGAAATTTGTTTCCGAATACTAACAGAGCTACGGAGATGACAGCTGCGAAGTCACCGAGTGCAGCCGTGCCAAACAACTCTGTCAAACTCCAGTTATTACACCTCTGTACCTACCTGCGATCATAACTTCACTGCAAGATATTTTCAATTTTCAGAAAAAAATTGAATTTAAAATGTGAAAGTGTAAAGACAGCAATGCCAATTGTAATACCTGGGCAGAGTTCCATGACGATCATTATCGGATTCTCGAAAACAACGATACCCATAATCTTGATCACGTTTGGGTGCTCAAATTTACGCATAATTCGAGCTTCTTTCATGAATTTCAAACGTGCCTGCCGTGATGCCTCTTCGCGCATCGTTTTCACCGCCACACTAACTACTTGTTTCGCTTGTATATATTGGGCCAAATAGACCTAAAGCAAGCTGTTCTGACTAACTAACACGAAACTATCGATGTCGAGTTTCTGCATATCACCAAAAACAGCCACAGTCGTACATTTAATCTATTAGTGTAAAGTCCTCTTGGCAAACCACTTTCTCGCAAGACCTTTTCTGATCCAATTTACGTACATCTCTTACACTTGCTTTTGTTCAGATGACCTCTTCTTGCCCCACGCGGACCAGTCATTAATGTACCGTACCCATCGGTTGTAAGTGAAGGGAGTACTTCGTCTGTTTGTGGATTTTAAAACGAATAAGTAAAACAGCAAAAATTTAATACAGATAGAAAATCACCCAGAAGGCAGTAAGGAACACGAAGCATTAAAACAAATTACTGGACTTACATTATCTTTAATTATGTGTTCTGAGAAATAAATGAAAGCGAATGGCCAAAAGCAATCAAGTTAGGCATAATGTTCTATGCCAGTATTATCTAAACCTTATTCTCGCTGTTCCACTTTCGACTATAGCAGCTCAAACAGCACACCGCTTATACTGCCTGATGGTCCTACGCACCCTGCAGTGCAGCATTTCAGCCCATTTATGCTTCACATTTTGGAGCCAACTTCATTTCACCTGAACCTAATAAGTAGCATAACATTCTGCATGAAACATATTATCTTGCACAAACACCGAATAGGCGGTGGGTATTAAGTGAATACATGCAGCTCAGAATCGAAGAGTCCGACGCAGGCGTGCTTGGCTTTTGGAACAACTTAGCAATACCACTAACAAAGAATGCCCGCACTGATGGCCCGAGTGGTCTCGGTATTCTTGGAATATATTATCATGAATATTTCCAAATTTTTTGTCAATAAACCTTGCATGTATATTCCTCTTTATTAATCGTTGGCGATGGGCACTGGGCGAGCCCATGCGATCATGGGTTTTTGCAGTGTTTCGTGCTGTACTAAATTCACTCGAAACTCCGCTAGCTAGAAACCTCTTGTACATATTGCTCCTCGAATTTCGGAAGTTAATTATCCACGCTATACTTGGACAGGGAACATTCCCTTGAAATCTCAGGTTCCCGGCTTTCTCAGTTCCCGAATTACCCAAATTGCAGCCAAAAAATTTCACGGGGCCGTGCGTGGCAACCATTCATAATGGGGGCTGAATTTGGTAAATTTAAGTTGTAGATGAGTTGGGAACATTTCCTGAAAGACGTGCATGAGGATGTGCATGAGGATTGACGTGCATGAGGATTGGTACCGCGGTCCTGGGGTGGCACTTGGCTGGGGAAAACCCTCGCAAAATTTTAGCGTCGGAGCTTGCTTGGGTGCCGAGTTGAAATACTCGGACAGACGCACACACACACATACACACACGCACACACCGGGGGTCGTCGCAGTATGCGTCTTCGCATTTGCATATATGCAAAAACGCATAATAAACCTCAATTTTTAAGCGTTTTTGCATATAAGCAAATGCGAAGACGCATACTGTGACGACCCCGGTGTGTGTGTATGCGTATGTATGTGTGTGTTTGTGTGCTTGTGTGTGTGTGTGTGCGTGCACGTGTGTGTGTGCGTCTGTCCGGGTATTTCAACTCGACACCTAAGCAAGTTCAGGCGCCAAAATTTTGCATGTGGGTTCCCCGGCCAGGTGCCATCTTAGGACTGCGGTACTAACCCTCATGCAAGTCAGGGCCCCGCGTACAAGGGGTGAAGTTTTGGCGGGAAAATCGCTAACTCGGGAACCAGAGAAGCTAGAAAGCTGAAATTTTGAGGTTATGTTCCTCGTGTACATAGAACTCATAGATTTCAGATTCAGCCTCTAGGTGTGCGTGGTTCCCGCGTATGGCCTCGTGAGGGTTCGAGGCGTGAAAATCGCTAACTCAGGAACCGGGAAAGTTGAGGAGCTGAAATTTTCAGGGAATGTTCCTAGTACAAGTACAATTTGCAGTTATCAAACTCAGCTCTTCAGCTTCTGTGGTACACACGTTCGACCCCGTAAATTTTTTGGCGCGAAAATAGCTAACTCGGGATTCAGAAAAGCTGGGAGGCTGAAATTTCCAGAGAATGTTCCTAACCTAAGTTCAACTAAAATTTTTCAAATTCAGCCCCTCGTCATGAGTGGTAATCACATATGAACCCGTGAAAAGTTTTTGGCGCGAAAATGGCTAACTCACGAACCAAGGAAGCTAGAAAGCAAAAATTTTCAGAAAATACTGCTGACACATTTTCAGCTTAAAATTATCAAATTCAGCCCCCGAGTATGAGTATTTCTCACGCGCAACCCCGTGAAGCTTTTGGCGCGGAAATGGCTAACTCGAAAACCAGGAGAGCTGGGAGGCTGGAATTTTCAGAGAATGTTCCCAGCCCATGTACGACTTAAATTTATCAAACTCAGCCGTCGGGTATACGCGGTGCCACGTATAGCCCCGAGAAAATTTTTGGCAGGAAAATTGCTAACTCAAGAGCCAGAAAATTTGGAAAACTGAAATTTCAACAAATTGTTCGCCGTCCACGCTTTCCCGATTTCGAGGACCAGTATATCACACATTTCTAGCTACTGGGTTCCGAGCG